AAATTAAAAAATAAAATTTGTTGATTAAAAAAAAGAAAAGAAAATTATGCTCTATGAGATATGCTATGTCAGGATAGGGACATGTGAAGATGGATTAAGTTCTTTTATTTCCAAACCCTAAAGATAAATGTGTGAATTTTGGAATGCTGAATCCAAATTTCATTTTACTTTGGAATGGTACTATCTCTTAATACATACTGATTCATTGAGACACATTGACTTACAAATTTTATTATAATACCTTATGGCCAAAATGCTTGTGTTTTCCAGTAATCAAAACATCAAGAGGAAGTAATAGAAATTCCTTTGTTAAAAAAATTAATTATATGACATGTGTGAATCATTATTGGAAATTACTTTATGTATGTCTGAAGTACTTAAGTGGTTCATTTGCCATCTTACCTTTATATATGGGGATTCTGCAATCATATATTACAATCATAAAGATAGATTGATTACAGTAATGTACTTCAAATTTGTTCCACATGTCTTTGAATTTTGAAATGGGCTACATAGTCAAGAGAAAAGTCAATATTTAGGAGAAATTAACATTTATTTAATAATTTAAAATGTAAACATTGTTTGTTTTTTTAAGGTAAAAATACAGAATGCTTCTCTTACCTGGATTTCACTGAGCGGCACTTTCTGAATGTGTGTATTTGCTTTATAGTCAAGGTCTCCGAAGCTAAAAATGCCTACGTACCTTGATTTCACAACCATGGAGGTGGAAAAATGAAGATCACAGGCTACCCACAGGCATTAACAGCTATGGACTTTGTGTGGGAAACTAAAAGCCTCTGACAAATCCTGAGAGAATTTCTAAGTGCTGACATCAGTACTTTTCTGTAGAGAAATTAAGTCCTAACAAATATGAACCCTTGGAAATTAATTAAAACTTCCCAATGAGATTATGTCCTTTACTACAGTAAGCTTGAAAAATATCTCGCTACTTTTAGTATATCTAACCCAACTTTAAATTCTCCTTAGCAATCTAAAACATACGGAACATAGTCTTAAGCAAGTTTGAATCTATAATTGAGGAGGCAAAATTAACATGAGTTATGAAAATAATTAGAACTGGGCCATATAGATGACTTAGCATCAAATGTTCTGCCCAAGTATGAGGATCTGTTTTAAAATTCCCACAATCCCCATTAAAAATGTGGGCGTGCCCTCATGCACTTGTTTTTCTAGTAATTCTGAGAGGAGTGAAGACAGGGGGATAGCTAGAGCTCGCTGCCCATCAGCATAGCTCCAGGCTCAGTGAAAGACTTTGTCAAAAGAAGGAGAGTTAGAGAGCAGAACAGCCAATGTGTTTCTCTGTCCTCTGTGTGCATGTGTGTGTTCAAATACTCTCATACACCTATGTATATATACACAACACACACACATAATCCTGCTACTCTTTGATTATAAGATGTACTCTACCATTAAAAAAGAAAAACTGAGTATTTGAACTAATTTTTCTTTTCTTCCTTACAGTGACATTTATTTGTCTCTAAAACAGAATTTCTACTTAACAAAGAATGGTTTTCATGTCTCTTAGCTCACAATTCTGTATTAAATAACTGTAAGTCAGGGGTGAGTCATTACTTCTGTGAGGGCTCTTTGCAGGAAAGTGAGATAATCCTGAAAATACATGCATAGTCTTAATAAAACCAGATAAAGGTGGTTCACACATGAAAAGTATTCGTGACCCCAGGTATAAAACAAGTTTTGTGGAATTTCTGTGGTCTGCAGTGGTTTCAAGAATGGGTAAGGAAAGGGAAGATATTTTCTATTTTCTATTACGTCTCTGTAAACCTTATGCCAGTAACCAAAAAAATTAATTTCTAATTAATTTATTTTTGATATTACTTGCAAGACACTGTTGTGTATTGCAAACACAAAAGTTGACAAAGCAGATTAAACAAATTAAGCATGGAGTCAAGGTCTTAACATTAAGAACACAATGAAAAAGAGTACAAAGCCTCCAAAATACCAGAAAGACTTTTATAAAGAGCAGGAAAAAGACTATATTTAACAACATAATAGTAACTAAAACACACATTTTAAAAAATTTTTATGAAATAATGTTTGAAGTCACAACAAAGTTTGCAACCACAGTATTTAATTCACCTATAACAAAGTTTTTAGTTTTGTTTGAGGCAGGAAACCTTACACTATCACTTATACAAAAATATGTACCTATATAATAATTCAAAATTGTGAATAATAAATGACTCTGTAGAAACATAGCAGATGAAGTGTGTAGGCAAATATTTCAATGCCTAACCATTATAACTAGTTAAAGAGACAACAAAGTACTATATAAAAATATAAAGAAGTAAATAATGAAAGTCAAATATTCTCCATATGTAAATGTAAAGAGTTCAAGTTTATGCTACAAATTTTAACAAAAGTTGAATGTGACCATTGAAAAAATATAGAAGAGAGAAAAAAGACTGAGTTTGCATTTCTGATTGTGTACTTATCTGGTCTGTGTGCATGTTCATGCCATGGTTGGTTTGTGTGTATAGGACAGACGAGCTGC